AAAAAAGAAAAAAAGAAAAAAAACAAATGTCACTGAAACATACTCTTTCCAAAAGCTTTAAGCCTGAGTCCAGTTAAACCTTTAGAACTAATTATAGGAAATATAAGAGATAGGGAACAAGTAAAACAACACTGGAAGAAAACAAACAAATAACTGGCCTGGTCTCTTCAAAAAGTCAATGACAGAGCGAGGAAAAAAAGAGGAATTTTTTAAATACTAAAGAGACATAACAACTAATTACAACTAAATCCTAGTTGGAAAAATAAAACTATAAATTTGCAGACAATTAGGAACACTTAAATATGGACTGAACACTGGATGCTATTAGGAAATTCTTCATTTTTCTTAGGAAAGGCACACTAAACTGCCTAGAGATGAAAGATCATGATTCCAAGTGAGTAAGCAAAATTTTAAATACATATAACTAAATACATACGAAGAAAGAAAATATGGAAAACATTAATAATTGTTGACTCGGGGCTAAACTGGTATTTATTATACCAGTCTATTTATTTCTATTTAATATTTTCAAACTAAAAAAACTGGAAAAAAATGCTCAATCCTTCATAAGGCTATATGCTAAGAGTTTCCACCATTCTTCGGAAAAGCACACAAAAGTGGGCACTCAAACTTTACTCAAAATTATGGGAAAAGCACAGCTAAGAAGTCAGAATGTTCAGATGCTATAGTGACATGCAGAACCTTTAGAAAGATGTGAGAGTCTCTGTAGTCTTCACTTACCATAAGTTGCCCCCTCTGTTGGCTGCTGTCTTCCAGCATTCAGACTTTCAGGCAAATTTTTCAAAACTGAAATGAGCTACAAAAAAAAAGAATGTGATACGTTAAAAATGAACAGAAGAACAAAAGCAGAAACACATTAAATTCAGTACTATGAAATAACCTATAACTTTCTTATCTTTTTCTCAAATTAAAAAAAAATTTTCTTTACTATTGGCTCATCAAGGCTGAACCTATAACTTTAAAAGAACTACATGGCAGGGTAAGGTAATACATTGGCTTAAGTTGTGAGGACAGGTGTCTACTTAGGGAAACCTCAGCAGAGATTCTGCTCTCTGCAGAGTACAGGTCATTGAATCACTTCTAGAGAATGCTGTGGAAGCTCTGGCATCAGGATAGTGTGTGGCTATACACACTCTCACCCCATGGGTAAGAAGGCAGTGAAACCTCACAGGAGAACGTACTATGGAGTTACCCAGCTCTGGGTTCAAATCCTAATTCCACCACTACCAGCTGTCTCATTGTGGAAAAGTTATTTACCTTGTCTCTGGACTTCAACGTCATCATCTGTGAAACAATCAACAGCAACAACTATCTCAAAGTTGGGAGGATAAAAAAAAAAAAAAAAGTCCATAGCTGGGCATGGTGGCTCACGCCTGTAATCCTAGCACTTTGGGAGGCCAAGGTGGGTGGATCACCTGAGGTCAGGAGTTCAAAACCAGCCTGGCCATCAGGGTGAAACCCCATCTTTAAAAAAAGAAAAAAAAAAAAACTCCGTAGAGTATCGAGAACAGTCTTTACAAGCCAATGCTGAATAAACAGCAGCCACCATTATAAGATCACTTGTTAGCCAAGTGCCTAGAATAAGAAATATCATCTATACAGGTGGGAAAAAACCTTATTCCATATGAAATTAACTCGTTCATATGGAAAATATAAATTTAACCATTACACATTTTCCCAGACTCTACTCATGCAGTTTCAATGAGCTATATATACAAATACAGAGAGAGAGGAAAGATCATCTACAGGTGGAATGGTCAGCAGAATTCCAGTACAAATGACTGGAAGCCGGGCACAGAAATGGAAGGAAAGCTAAGAGCCACTTAGGAAACTGCTGTTAGTTGATTCTGATGGGAATGCAAGGTATACACATGAAAGTGAGGAGAGTGAAACTGGGAAGAACAGTCTAAGGCCTCACTATGACATGTGGTAGGCAATGTAAGATCACCTGTTTCATTTGAAAGCCTTTATTCAGTACCTGCTCTTTGTAAATTCTCAAAGATGTATTTTTTTTTTTTTTTTTGAGACTGAGTTTCACTTATGTTACCCAGGCTGGAGTGCAATGGCGCGATCTTGGCTCACCGCAACCTCCGCCTCCCGGGTTCAGGCAATTCTCCTGCCTCAGCCTCCTGAGTAGCTGGGATTACAGGCACGTGCCACCATGCCCAGCTAATTTTTTGTAGTTTTAGTAGAGACGGGGTTTCACCATGTTGACCAGGATGGTCTCGATCTCTTGACCTCGTGATCCACCCGCCTCGGCCTCCCAAAGTGCTGGGATTACAGGCTTGAGCCACCGCGCCCGGCCCTTCAAAGATGTATATCAAATCACAAATGCCAGGCTAATTTTTAGGAAGCCAAAGATAGAAACTACTCTTTTTTGTTTTTAAGAAAATTAGAAGTCACAAAATTGTTCTTCTCATAACCACTTAGGAAACCCACTAAATAAGTAAAAGCAGTAGGGTATTGGAGAATACCATGTTGGCACCCAGTCTTGACAACACTGCTTCCAATTCCTTTGCAGTGCTCTTGGGTGGCACAGGAACAGTTTCTTGTTTGAGAATTGGGCCTACATCGAACCTAGCAAAAAATCAAAAGCAAATAATAACAATGATTACTATCTCCTGAATCACTGTCCACACACAGAAAGATACAAGCCAGGTACAGGGTCAGCATGCCTGCAGTCCCAGTTACTCAGGAGGCTGAGGCAGCAGGATCGCTTGATCCCTGAGTTTGAGACCGGCCTGGCCAATACAGCCAGCCCCTATCTCTTAAAAAATAAAAAAATAAAGATAGTTTATCACTGGCTATTAATTTGGCTGTCAGCCACTAGCAAGGGAGACAATGCCAGTTTGAAAGATGGGAGAACAAAATATGGCCTGTATTTAGATTCTAAGTTTGTTTTTCCTGAAGGAAAAAAAGGATACAGTTGCATATCAGGAATTTAATTACAATTACTGAAAAATTATACCATTAGTAACATTAAAAATTTCTATTTGTGTATGAAAAGCATAAGGCAAATAATTTATTTTCCATGGAAGTACAGTTAGGAAATTCATAATTATTTCTTTCCATAGTCCCTTCCTCGAAGGATAAGAGTTTTGCCTAGATTATCACCATGGTAGGTGGTAGGGCCAGAAGCGGTGGCTCACACCTGTAATCACAGCACTTTGGGAGGCCGAGACGGGCGGATCACTTGAGGTCAGGAGTTTGAGACCAGCCTGGCCAACAGGATGAAACCCCATCTTTATCAAAAATACGAAAAATTAGCTGGGCATGGTAGTACGTGCCTGTAGTCCCGGCTACTCAGGAGGCTGAGGCAGGAGAATCACTTGAACCAGGAGGCAGAGGTTGTAGTGAGCCAAGATCATTTCACTGCATTCCAGCCTGAGCCACAGATTGAGACTCCATCTTGAAAAAAAAAAAAAAACGAAATGCAAGTATTTGTATTCCCACAAGTCTGATATTTTACATCAAGCTCTGTAAACACTGGCCATAGGTTTTCATGAGAAATATGCTTTATCTAAAATTTTTTTTTTTTTGAGACGGAGTCTCGCTCTGTCGCCCAGGCTGGAGCACAGTGGTGCAGTCTTGGCTCACTGCAACCTCCGCCTCCTGGGTTCAAGTGACTCTCCTGCCTCAGCCTCTCAAGTAGCTGAGACTACAGGCACGTGCCACCATGCCTGGCTAATTTTTTGTATTTTTAGTAGAGACAGGGTTTCACCATGTTAACCAGGATGGTCGCGATCTTCTGACCTCGTGATCCGCCTTCCTTGGCCTCCCAAAGTGCTGGGATTACAGGCGTGAGCCACAGCGCCCGGCCTATTTAAATTTTTTAACTGTGTTTTTGTTAATTCTATTTCTAATCCAGAAGCTTTAATAAAATGTTTATTGTGAAAAATTGCAAACACCCACCAAAAGAGTGAACTGTCTAAGGAATCAACATATATACATCAGACATTTTTTTGAGACAGGTTCTTGCTCTGTTGCCCAGGCTGGAATGCGGTGGTGCAATCTTACCTCACTGCAGCCTAGCCTCCTAGGCTGAAGAGATTCTCTCACCTCAGCCTCTTGAGTAGCTCTGACTAGCTGGGACTATAGGTGTATACCAACACACCTGGCTAATTTTTTTTTATTTTTTTGTATGCTGCCCAGGCTGGTCTTGAACTCCTGGACTCAAGTGATACTCCCACCTCGGCCTCCCAAAGTGTCAGGATTACTGGTGTGAGCTACAATGCCTGGCTCAAATTTTAGAATTACCAAGGTTTCGCCGCTCTTGTCTCATCTACTCCCTCTCTTGTTTTCTGAAGTCAGTTAAAGCAAAGCCCAGACACCATGTTGTTCCTGTGAACTTGTGAATTATTCTTTTTTGAGGGGGAAATTAGGTGGTAACAGGCAAGGGACTGAAGAAACTGAAGTTTAAATAATTGTTTCTAGACTGCAGGTATGATAGGAAAAAAACGAATGTTTTAGGACAATTATATTGCATATTGATATACAATATATTCTTATTTCAGGTTCCAAAAAACTTTTGGCCATAGTTTAGAAACCATGGCCAGCAAAACCAAGATTCAAAACAATTAACATACAAAAATCCCATCTCTCATTTATACAGTGTCTTTTATAAAAAGTATTAATAATATAACTTATTTCAGTTGACAAATTACAATTTTCATATGGACTTTAAACAGATCCTGCATAAATACCAAAAGACATACGGTTTATGTTAAAAACCAGGAAAAAACAGAAAGGCTATAAAAGCAAAAGCAGCACTCCGGAGTCACAGAAATTAGGGAGTGCCACTCATTCATCCATTGTCCCCCAAACAGGCTGACATCAACATTTAAAATCACAAAAATCTCAAGAAAGGGAAATGTGTTCTACCTTTTGGGTCTAATTTGCATAATTGTGACTCCAGCAACTGGGTCTCCATGAAGCACTGTATGGATTATAGGGGCTGGGCCACGCCATCTCGGTAGGCAACTGGGATGGACATTCAGTATGCCACTGAGTTAGAAAATGCAGAAATTAGTAGTCAGTGGGCGTTACCACTTCATTACCACTACCTAAGCCATTACACTACTTTTCATTATGAAACTTTCCCAGAAATTCTGAAAACCCGACAGTTAAATCTAAGTCTTGTATCACCTGAAAGGAAAAAGGTTAAAGGTAAATTCATTCTCTTGCCATAAGAAACCAATGAAATTGAATTAAAAACAGAGCCAGAACAACTATTTGCTGTTCTAAAGATGTCCTACAAACGCCCAGGATGTCTGCGAGTTTTTAAATAAAATTTTAAAATG